GTCAAAGTGCTTTTTAAAAGTTTTAAATCAATATAATTTCTTATTCATTTCTACTCCTTCAATTTTTCAAGTATGAAGAAAGTTAAATTAACCCAAGTTATTGTACCRGGTTCACTGGGAACATTAATAGTATGATTAAACATGTAAAATTATTGAAACAGCTGTCAAAATCAACTATGCATTAAATKATCTTTAAATTGGATACTTCACAGACCTAAATAACTGACTTTAAGTACTAAGTTTAATACTAAATATAAGTTGTTATCCTTCAATAACATACCCCATGAGTTACATTTCCTACATCACACAGATGGCTTCCCTTCAACTACATTTTTTGTTACCACAAGTCCATGCAGTGAATAAATGTGAAAACTACCATGAACTACCATGAAGGTATCTTAGAGAAATTTCAGGAAACCATAAAAACAACAAAAAAAAGGAAAAAAAATAGAAATTAGTTTTTCAAACATAGGATGTTAAGATAGTAGAGAAAAATTAGTTCAACTTGTAGAAACCATATATATGTATAAAATATAAATATATTATATATATATATCATATATCTACATATAAAAATACAAGTCAGATGAAGAAGCCATAGAGTATGAATATTATGTTAATATAGAAGAGATTCACTTTTATTTTGATATATCACATTTACTACTTCTACTTTTTTCTTATTGTATAGCTTATGTAAAACAATTAAGTTCAGTATTTATCGTTTATCATCATTTAAAACTTCCTTTAGATTTATAAAATACTTTCTTCCTATTTCGTGTCTCTAGCATAACTGTTATTAACAAAAAAATTACACTATCAATTACAGAGTTTTCCATTATTATTAATCATGGCCACCTGTAATATAACAATGCTTGACCATGAACAGAGGAAACCAGAACAAGGTATTATTCTGGTCTCCAAGTGCTCTGCTTAAGATTACATGCTTATTTCTACTCAAATCTGTTAACACATTTCAAGTATACATATGTAGACTTATCAAGTTTGTGAATCACCTATGTAAAATTTTTTACTTCAGTTTTGGAACTTGCTACCTGTTTTCAATGTTCCTTTCTGCTACTAGCATGGATCTGGATAGGAAATATAACTCTAATATACTGGGAAAGAATTTATAAGGCTTCTAACTTATTTAATGAAGAAACTGCTTTCCAATAACATATTTCTCTTCCAAGCCCTGATTTTGTTAATCAAAGTTTTAGTCAACACTAAGTATTCAGAAAATTCAACCAAGAAATATTTTCCAAACTATGCTCTAAAAGAGTATAATATAGATAAGTCCCTAACTTATGATGGCTGGACTTGAAGATTTTTTGTTTTTTGTTTTTTGCTTTATGATGGTGTGAATATAGCACAGTGAATCCCAACATCAGGAGTGTGTATGTATACATACACACACACACACACACACACACACACACACACGACACTAATAAGAAAAACTCTAAATAAGCAGCAGAAAGGTCAGTAGAATAGAAGAAAGGGAGCAGGGATGATAGGAGAAGGAGGGAAGTGCTGGGGACTGAATTAGAGCAAATAATATTCCATACTTTTGTGATTCTGACAAAATGTATCCTAATGTTTTATATAACTAAAAAGAATCAATAAAAAAAAAGAAGCACATTGTTGGAAGAAAGGAGCTTGAAAGTTTTCATCATAAAGAAATGATAAACAAGGGGATAGATATGTTTAACCTGATTTAAATACTGTACAATGTACATATGTATCAAAACATCACATCATATTCATAAATATGTACAATTTTAATGTTTTTATGCACCAGTTAATTTTTTTAAAAAAGATTAAAATCATTAAAAAAATACACGAATTCAGTGTGAGGCTATGAGAAAATATAAATTTTCATAGAACAGTTCTGGATAAGTAGTGGGTAGAAGCAAAGGAAAAAAAATCACTGTTGGGTGTGGACAAAATGGAAAAGGAAACTTAAGCATAAAATAATTTGGTGCTTTGCCAAAGTGCTACTTTTCAGGAGGAAAAATTCTTCATGAAACATTCTTTTTGAGGTGTGATTAGTAAAGATTACTTATTTGGCACAAAGTGGACACTGAATAATATTTGTTTAATCATAAAACATCAAAATAAAAATAGTTCAAACTTTTGAATATCTCCTGGGGGCAGTGGCTAATCCCTGTAATTCCAGGGACCAAGGGAATCTGAGGCAGGAAGATCAAAAGTTTGAGGTCCACCTCAGCAACTTAGTGACATACTGTCTCCAAATAAAATAAAAAGGGCTGGGGATATAGCTCAGTTGTGAAGTGCCCCTGTGAAGTGACAATTCACAGTAGTGCAAAAAAAAAAAAAAATCAAATCGTACAAAAATGAATAGTATTTTCATAATATACCTGCCTTATCTGTTTTCAGTAAATTTGTTTTACTCTCTATTCAAAGGATTTAAAAAGTGGATGTGTTCAGAGTTTCACTGTAAATATTGTAAGTATCTGTCCACTTTGAGGACTAATAAACTATCTGAAAATGTTTTCTTCAGGGAAAATGTTAGTGAAACTTTGTGAGTAGTTTCAGTACTATCTTATCTGTATGTTTAACCAATTTTATCCACGGAGCTAGAAACTCCCTAACTATGGACAAGGGTTAGGTTATTGGGCCCAAAGACACAGTTAATTTTTCTGTGGTAGTAGAAAGGAGGTATTTAACACTCATAAAATATACAGATGAATAGCAGTGGCTGTATACTGAAATTTAATGGTAAATCACATAAAAAGGAACTTCATGTGCTAGTGCTAATAAAAGTGCCTCCTGAGATTCATAATGCTCCATTTTTTGGAGGGGTATGTCAGTGACTCACCTAGGTGAACAGGATTAATATCTGATGTTCTAAGGAAGGCCTAAAAGTTAAGTCTTTAAAAACAAATTTTGGTGAAAAAAGTAAGTAAATAATAAATACAACAATAAAGGTGTTTAGCAGCCATGTAAAGTAAACTAAACAGGACATAAGTTAAAGCATTAAAAAGAAAATGATTCAGTTCACAAACTAAGAAGCTCATGACAAAACAGAAAAAGGAGACAGGGAAGACAACAGTTAAAAGTTTGGTGTTTGTTTCTTAAAAATACTAAAGATAATTTTTGTTTTATCTACTAAATTTTAAAAGGTAAATTCAATGTGCAATGCTTGTAACAAAAACACCATTTGCCCCATAATAATATGAGGAAAGTTAATATACCTTTCCAAAACATCCAGGTTATTTCTTGGGAATACCTGAACACTAGAACAAAGGCAACTCTTAAAAAAATTACACACACACACACACACACACTATTCAAAGTCTGCATACTTTGCATTTTGTTAATCATCACATTCTCAGTACACTTTCCCATACACTGAAATTCTATTATAGGACATTCTACCACTTAGCACTTTTTCTACTTTTTCAAGTATCCAAGCTCAAATGAAGTTAAAAGGTAAGAAAGCAAGATGAATGACTGTCCAATGATTTCTTAATGCAATTCAGGTAGCTGTATACTAGGGTCAAATTTCATTTACCTAGGAGCTAGCAATTCATTTTGTAGATTACCTGAACTTTGTCCTTTCAGTTTCTCCTTTCACAGTTAAGGTATTTTCTCTTCAAAAAGGATTCACCAGAGAGGAAGAAAAATAGAAGTAACTGACCATATAAAGTTCACCAAATGTTATTAGTTCAAGTTTAATATGGTGGCCATTTCATTAATAAAAACTATTTTGTATTTTAGAATGGATAATTTTAAAATTTAGAGGTTTAAAACTGGTTGCCCTTGAGCAGGATGAGACTTAAATATAATTTCTATTTAGTCTGTACAATTAAAAAAAAAGAAACTCAACATTTAAAATTCATCTGTTGTATAAAAAAAATCCAGATTTTCAGCTTCCTTCCTCCCCAAATAAAAATATTTGACAGTATTTGGCTAAACTGTAACACATTAACAGCTAACTAAATAGTAGTAGCTTTTCCCTTTAAATAAGACAAGGGCTCTTCGATCTGCCACAGTCCCCACAGCTCACTGTCAATAACAACTAATGTTATATGTCAGTAGTCATTTCTCAAAGTTTAACTTTTTTCTTTTTAGTTATTGAGAATACTTCTTTAGAGCCATAAGTACCAAAAGTTTAAAAAAAAAAAAGAAAAAAGAAAAATATACTGAGGGCCATGTACTTGTAGAACACATGAAAGTATAGTATCACACATTCATTAGGCAAATAAAATGTCTCTGTAGAACGACAACAATGTAAAATGCCATTATGAAACCAACCACAGAAAGACCTTATTTGGCTTACATGCCAGGAACATACTAGAATTTGAGTGTTTGAGCCACACAGTATTTCATATAAGATGATAAAAAATGAATGATATTTTTGACATAAAAGTGTTATGAATTTTTAATATCATTTTAATATTCATCTAATTAATCAAATAGGCCATCTTAAAATGGGTAAAAAGCTTTTAAAACTTGTTTACAAAGAAGAAACTGCTGTTTAAAAATACTTTATCCAATTTCTAAAATGAGCTAACTATAATTACTTTGAACTTTATTTTTCTAAARCCAGATTTTATTAAAGATTCTTTTTTCTTTGAAATAATTATCTAGAATAAAATAATTTTACTACTAAAGACAATTTTATGTCTTAAAGCTACTTCTGGCAGTAATAAAAGTAATAAACTTTTTAATATTGCTTATTTTAAAAACGTTCGCAGCAAGAAAGCTTAAACCAACCACAGCATTTTTTTTTTTTTTTTTTTTTTTTAGGTTTGGGACTGATTAACAGCAGCCACCATTCAAATACTAGTCCCTTTTGGTGAATGAGACCATTTTGTAATTTTCAAACAATTTAACTTAATGTGAATTAATTATTAATTTTATATGCCCTTATGAATTCTTTGTTCATAATTTTTCAAAAATATTTGTTGTGATTATAATAAAAATGATTTTGAATTTTTCCCCCAGAGATAAAGCAAGTTTTCAGTTTTGTTTACCATTCTCATTGCTATAGTTCATCAGCATGCCACAAAAGACAGTCAAGAGCTTCTCATTGGCGGGATCTGTTATACTGCACAGTGACCTTAAATGGTCAATTACAATCTGTGCACCACCTGCTTGGTCAACTGCACTTCTGCCCTCATCTGTAAAACAAAGAGTTAAATTAAAAATAAAACAAAAAAAGAAATGTACCTTATAATTTCAAATACAAAACATAACAGAGTTTGTTATTCCTTATTTAGTGAGTAAGGAGAAAATAAACATAGGTGGGACACTTAATATGTCTTTTTTTGGGGGAAAAAAAAAGAACAAATACACATGGAAATGGGGGTGGGATGGGAAAAAGAGACAATCACTTTTTATTCTAAGAGAAAAAGATTATCCTTATTGTCATCATAAAGGAGCTTAAGGCATCTATCCTGAAGTTTATGCTGTGAAACTTATCACCCCCACCCTCATTACAAAAGACAATTCTGTGTAAGAAAAAAAAAGGAACTAAGTGATGTTCTTTGGTAGAAGTTTTTGTTCTCAGCTTGGAAATCATTAACTAAATCTTTTTATAAGTGGTGTTATATAGGACACAGTATAATTCAAGATCACAACATGTAATTTCTAAGTTTTAGTACCAGGGTCTTTTTAATAGCATTTTCTATTGTCCAGGAGCATATTCTCTCACTTTTTCATTCTTGGTTTGTATTTCAATACTCTTATTTCCCCTATTCCAGCTCATACCAAATATATTTCAGTATCACAATTAGTGTTCAAGCAATGGTCAAATATTCTCCATTATGTATACATCTACATTTCATAGAACAAATGTCATTTAACTGTTAGAACATATGAATAGCTTTGGAATATCTTCTAACCACTGAACGCTGAAATGGAAAGAGATAAAAGAAAGATGTCATCTTTCTAAATCTGACCTCCTTATATAAAATATGACAATCTCTAGAACAGTGCTGTCCAACAGAAATAAGTGAGCCAAATATGTAATCTAAACTTATCAATAGCCAAATTAAGAGTAAAAGAAAAAAGGTTAGAAATTAATTTTAATAAAATTTTATTTGATTTGATATATCTAAAATATCAACATGCAATGAATATATACATTATTAATGAAATATTTTATATTCTCTTCTTTGTAACAAATCTTCAATATCCATGTGTATTTTACTCTGATCTCAATTTAGACTAACTACTTCAGTTGCTCAATAGCCAAATTTTATGACTGGCTACCATAATGGACAGCTCAGCTATAGAAAGATAACAAAAGAATTTGTACAATAGCTCACAAGGTAGTTATAACTATTAAGTTAGTAAACAAAAGATTTTCATTTTCCTAATAAAAGGAATAATATTAAGATCATATCTTCATAAGTGATGCTGAATATCACTGAATTAGACAACAAAATTATAAATGATTTGTTATGGTATACACATGCTAATATTTCTCAGGGAAATAATTTTGCAAAGTTTTAAGGAAATTATCCTAAAATAATAAAATAGTTTTGTCTATTCAATTTCATACCATGTCTACTTAGTTTTATTGTACTGCTATAGACGCAGAACAGGACCCTATGCTCATTAGCTAATTAGATTACAGAAAATTCTTATATTGCCAAGGTAACTAGTTGATGAACCAGCCAAAATGTCATTTAAATCTCACTTAGAAATCTGATTTTCAAAGTTTCATTTTCCAATAAAATAAATAAAATAATCTAAGTTATTAGGCAATTTGGACATAGATGATGTCTCAGGAATGGGATTACCAATCTACACCCTTGACATTTAATAATACGAATGTACACTATCTCCCATTCTTAAACTGCAAGCTCCAATAGTGTTTGATTCTAATTGCTAAGGAAATATGGGCTTTCAAAATATAAACTGCACATGCTTAGGAAGAAATTTCAGAAAATAGCTAATTATTTTGTGAACCGAAAACAAAGTTTAGAAACAAAGTGGAGCCTATTTGATGTAAAATTTAAAAGCTAAACTAGCTTCCTATCAACACTAAGGCAGTCAATACTCCAAAATTCAATAATTTAATCAATTTTAAAACAAATTTACTCAACAAATTTGTAACGCAATAAATATGATCCTAACTACAATCAGAAGGTAAATTGCTTATTTGTGTTTCAGAGTCACAATGCTTTTCCTCTCACCTTCTCCTTCCATTCCTGTTTGAACTGTCTATAATATAGTACTTTATTCATGAGTCACTGAGAGTTGGTTACACAATATAAGTCTAACCTCTACATTAGGGAAATTATTACCAAATTGGAAAAGAAAAAGAAAACAAAGTACATATTACAATAGTTATCTGAGTTCATGAAATATTAACCACCACTGCAGGAATGTTTACACAGTTTCTTGGTTATTATCTTTTTTGACAAAACAGGGAAATAAAGTGAAAGAGGATTTTAGTAAAATAATTAATACACTCTAAGGATTCAAAGGAATTCATAAATAATGCTGTGTTCTTTTACCAAAATCATGATAGAATTTTAAATACATACCAGAACAATTGTCATTACATAGGTCCATATACACTGGTTATCTATAATCAAGGTAACTCCATATACCATAGTTATACTACCATATTATTACTGATTACTTAAAAATAATTTCTGAAAAGTTCATTATCATAAACTTTCATATTCCTGAATGAAGGTTCACTTTTGGCTTTTTTATAAGTAACATCAAACTTGTGAAGCATCCTGAGCCTACTATATGGTATAGATGGATCTTAATATTGGATATCCTAAACAGAAATTTTTGAGAAAGGTACCAAAGAATTTTTCAGAAATGAGTCTTTAAAAGTAGATTCTCAGTTAAGGCTCAGAAAGTGTTATTATCATGCTAACTAAATGGAAAAAGCAATAGACCTTTTAAAAAGAATTTTTAAAATTTTGTTGTTGATGGACCTTTATTTTATTTATTTATATGTGGTGCTGGCTATTAACAATACATTTTCCATCTTAATTTTTCATAATTATGAGGTATTGAAGAACAGCCTGCTACAGGTCATCCTACATTCTTTAAGAGGGAGGACCTGTCAGAGAAAGAAGTTTCCAGCATAAGTATGCTCTTTTTTAAACCAGATAACAGCAGAACTCTGCACTTCCATTATCTTTCTGTAACCAAAAGCGAGAAGCAATAAGATTTAAGCATTAAGGTTATGTCTTATGAATGAAGGGGAAAAGTATTACTAGCTGGTATTCTATTATCAGGTACTAACTATACAATAAGGGTGAGGAAAAGTCCTAAAAAGCAACCACTGGGTATAACTTTTATGTTATAGTGTATTCTGCTTTGGATTTACTTCCCTGAATATGCTGTCCTTATTCATGGACAGCAAATGCCTAACATGTAGTGGGCATTAGATATTATTTGAATGAATGGGGTTATTTGGCTAGATTTTGGTTAATTWACCACTGATCTTGAGGGCATGTGTATATGTTAGTGTGTAGGAGAAAACATAGGGGTGAAGAAGAATAATAAAAATCATTTACTTGTTTTACTCTGCTTTAAGTACCACTTGTTCTCTATATATTTAACTCTGCTTGTTTCCTGAACTCTATGGATGGAATTAAATATGGAATGAAATAAAATAGATTCATGTATTTACTGTTTTGTACCTAGCTTTTTCACTCAATATTATGTTTGTGAAATCCATCTGCTTTTTAAATGTTTCCTTGTTGAATAAAATTCACTATATAAATATAGCACAATATTTGTCAGTTCTTTAGATTTTTATTTGGGTTGTTCCTAGATTGGAGCCATTACTTGCAATGCATAGGCAGTAATGTTGGATCACAGTCTGTATGTCTTCCATATTGTGAATAATGACAAATGAGTTTCCAAAGACAAGTGTACTTTTCCTTCAGCAATGTGAGAGTTCTAGTAGCTCCACCCATTCACTACCCCTTAGTGTTCATTATTGAATTTTTAAAGCTTAGGCAATTTGATGGGTAAGGTTTAACCAAGCCCAGAACATACAGGTGCAAAGACTGGATGTCAGTTCCTTATTCTTTATTTTTAATAGGGCAGTAAATTTAATGTCAAGAGTAAATAATATGCATATATATTTTTAAAAGCGGCTTAAAAGTTGAGGAGGAAGAAGGCAGAGAGATAAACAGGAATACAGATACATAGGTATTAAAATCAAAAGAAAAAAATGAAAAGGAAGCCAAGTAGCTGGAGGAAACTAACAAGTCTTTGTATCATTAGACAGAAATAACTGTGGAACTTTCAATACCCATGCTTATAGAAAACTATTACATCAGCAAATACTCTGTGTGTTTTATAATTTCTATCAATATTGTTTTCTAAAAAGAGACATTAGAAGGCCCTAATCTTTGAAAGACTGAGGGGGAAAACTGAGGAGGAAGCACTCTTTGAAAATCTTAGCTCTACCACTTCTCAGCTGGGTGACTTTGGACAATTAGCTACTGAAAGTCTCTGACTTTCTATTTTCTCAGTTATAAATGAGGTGTAGTAAGACTTATATGAAATAAAACATAAAGGCTCTAATACAGTGTTTGGCATTTAGAAAGAACCAGATTATCAGTTCCCTTCCACCTCTCAGTTTAAGTCAGTCACTTTTGCCTCAATTGTCTACCAATAAGATGACAGTGAGTTCCAGAAGAATGCTTTTGAAATAAAACAAATCTGTAACCTGAAATAGCATATTTTCATCTGAAATTAATTTTTCAGAACATTAATGTTTTTATAGTTTAAAAATCTATATAATTTTCAGGCTGGCATCAAATACAAACAATACATTATACCTATACACAACTGATATTAGTTTTCCTTCCCTTTAATTATTTGTATAATAAATGGGGATGGATGTGTTGGGGCACTCCTGTAATCCCTGCAACACAGGAAAATGATGAAGGGGATCACAAAGTCTGAGGGCAGCCCAGCAACTTAGCGAAACTCTGCCTCAAAATAAAACAAAAAGGGCTGAGGATATATCTCAGTCATAGAGCTATAATAATGAGTTCAATCTCCAGTAACAAAAAATAAAACAAAACCAAAACAGTAATAGGATCCTGATTTCCTATGCACATATCCACTTAAATGACTTACTTCCAACCAGAAGTTAGGATCCTTCCTGACATCAGGAAAAGTTACC